GTAGTCTATAGAAACAATTATGGTTGTCTGGCTGTGTTGGCCTAGAAACGTATTTTATTGCACACTCTAGTTCGCCTGACCTTTCTTGGTCCGCCACGTGACAATGCAAGAATCTAGGTCCAGTACGTTGTTTTAAACCACATGACGTCATCAAACCAGGTTACCTTTTTATAGTTCGTATTGTTATTTTTACATGTATGTACAGAGAAGGAAAACTTCCAGCAGCAATTTATAAAAAAAATATGGTTCAACACTAAAGGGATATCAATGTACGTTATATCATAGAACCCTACATGTAATCTGGTGATATAAAGTTACCTACAGAAGCGGTTTTTACCATTTACGGTTTCACTGGGGAACGCTGTGTATCTGCACAATTACAAACAACGGTGTGTGTAGGTAGCACCACCAGATAACATATGTGTTTCCCTAGCTTATCTCGTAGGTATATGCCTCTTGCGTTGCAGTAAGTTTTGTCATGTTTAATAGCTTTCTTGCAAAAACAATCAATTTTTCCATGTTTTTGAAAAAAGCAATATTCGCATTAGAAGATGCAATATTGGTTAGGTAAACATAGATTTACTTTGCTGACTACTTAAATTATACAAGCAGTGTAAAGGAGGAAGAAATATCAGCAGCAATCCTCTTCAGTGACAATTTTTCACAGTGCAAATGGCGGCATCCAATGACAATGTTGTAAAATTTCTGGGGTGATGGTAGTTTGACCTGCCTCGTCTCTGCCACAAATATTTTGTCATCTCTTTGGCAACAATGTGGACATCACCACATTTTGAGTGATCGGGTGACCAGTTGATGGTGTACTTGCCTTTCACCAACTCGGCCAGCGTTCGACTACTCGAAGGAAGGACCTGAAAAGGTATTGGGTCTTCTCCAAGTGTAATCATCCCACATTAAGTCCATCCGCGCAAAAAAGATTGATTGGTACAATTTGTAAACCTATTTCATAAATGTTGTAAAACAATTATAGTTTTATTAACCCCAAATTCACTAGTTTCAAACGTTCATTTGACGTATTAATAACTGTTTCTAATATTTAATTGAATAGAAGGATTGCTGTCTCTTACAATATCTTCCTTTCGAAGCAGACCTAGTTAAGATAAGTATTTCATATCGAGGCTGACCTAGTTAAAGTTACAATACCTTCACATCGAGGCTGACCTAGTTAAAGTTACAATATCATCATATTGAGGCCAAGCTAAGGCTGCAACATCTTCATATCTATGCTGACCTAGTTAAGGCTATACTATCTTCAAATCGAGGCTGACCTAATTAAGGCTACATTGACTTCACATCGAGGCTGACCTCATTAAAGCTACAATACTTTCATATCAAAGTTGACCTAGTTAATGTTACACTATCTTCATATCGATGCTGGCCTAGTTAAGGCTACACTATCTAGAAATCGAGGCTGACCTAGTTAGGGCTACAATAACTTCACATCGAGGCTGACCTCTTTAATTCTTTCATATCAAAGTTGACCTAGTTAAGGTAACAATATCATCATATCGTAGCTGACCTAGTTAAGGTTACAATCCTTTATGTAGAATCTTGGATAGGAATTTGTTGACTGCCTTTGTGATATTTGTTTAATTTTAAAGTGAGTTATAAGCAATGTGATTGTCGTCTTTCCTCAATAAACAATAGTCAAAATTGAATTGTGTCCTTTTTTGTTTTCTAAAGTCCGTTACTGCTTGTAGAAATACTTTTCAAACTCAGAACAAACCGTAGATAAGATCTATTATATCAGTATCACTAGCTACCCCCATTTCTGCTGACCGTTCTCACGGTTAATGGGCAATTAATAGCGAAAACAAGGCGTACTGTTTCTGTTTTAAACGAATCGACACATTTCCAACACCGGTAGTAGTCATGGTGACCATGGATATTTTCGATCGCCTCGGATAAGTACATGTACTCCTACAGTATGGAGACATCTCTGTTCAGATCGAACATTGCGTGTCAGCCATAGGAACCGTTAGGGTGTCTACACGACGCTATGACAACTAGATTACACCACGTGACTATAAGATACACCACGTGATTATACCATTACATCGTGACGTACATCAAAAGCAGCTTATTCATACTTTACAAGGCAGCCATGTACACCGCGACAGAATCTGCCAGTGTGAAGTTGACACCGACGTCCACTTTGACGGAGACCATCATTTGTCTGGTGATATCACTGATTTCTCTCCCTCAAATGGCACCTCCTCTCTACATTTATATAATTGAAATGGTCCAATGAGATGTTCCGTTACAGAACAGTCTGCAAACATGACGTCATCAATCAATCACCTGATCCATGTATGATACCAGATAATAACGACCCCTTACCTGTTTATTCAGGTCACATGTAGAGTTAGCTACGTGATCAGCACGTGTTAATTAATACACACTCATTCATTAAAGAAAATATGAAGTCTATTACATTATATGATACGGGACTGGTGACGGTCGCGTTTAAATACACCTTCACTTCAATTACAGACGGGGGAGTAGTTTTGTAAGTAAATGAAGGTATTTAATACCTGTTCCGTCACTACGTTCGCTGTATCAATATTGACAGTGACACACTGCGTCAGACACCAGGATATACACGACCCCAGTCATGTAATACACACATTAGTGAGTGATCAAATTAACTCTTAAAATACATGTAGGTTTTTTTTATAAGTTTGTTCTTTTTCGTAGATTCTGTAAAATTACATAATTCTAAATGGCTTATGTTCCAAAACCTGAATACTTTCAATAAAATGTTGACGTAACTTTAAATGATCTATCGCGATCGGTACACACGACGATAATGTTGCCGGGTTTGTCATTATCAGTGTAGGCGGCTCGTGTTATTCAAGGTTTCCAAATCCATTCACACTCGTACCCGTATTCCTATCAGTAGGCCATTATACGTCTCTGCGGAGTAGCAAGCTCGTGCTTCGCGCATTACCAACACTCTTCAGAAATGGCGAAGTACCATTATTCTTCAAAAAATGGCGTAGTACCAACACTCTACAAAAAAGGCGTAGTACCAACACTCTACAAAAATGTCTTAGTACCAACACTCTACAAAAATGGCGTAGTACCAACACTCCACAAAAAAAGGCGCAGTACCAACACTCTACAAAAGGCGTAGTACCAACACTCTACAAAAAAGGCGTAGTACCAACACTCTACAAAAATGGCGTAGTACCATTACTCTACAAAAATGTCTTAGTACCAACACTCTACAAAAATGGCATTTGAAGAATCTCTGTTCGTCATACTTGAACTATTTGTCGGGAACAGTTGTTTAGTGCCTTTTTAACGAAGTTAGTTGTTTTTCAGCGTATTTTTTTTATTGCCATGATATGATATTGAAGCATAGCGAACAACACTTAGTTTCGCGTCACTCTACAACGTAACGTAATTTGCTGAGTCTCCGTTCGTAATAGCTCAACTGTTCGTTGGGGACGGTTGTTCATAAATTTTCTAGCGAATTCATTTTTTATTGTTAGGGTTATGCACAGTAAGTTTTGGCATTATTTTCAAACCTTTTTTTATGATTTATATAATACCTCACACGAATAATATGAAATGTTACCTTTTTAGTATTGGTACTCTTCAAAATAACAAAATTTGTACCAGGGTCATGCGATTTCTATGCGTGGATACAGGACGCAGACGATGCGCCTCGTTATTAGACGTGTAGAGCCAATACCCTTGCAGGTTCAACATTTTTTTGATACTAAAATATGGCTCTAACACTCTATGTTTCTTCCAAAACGGAATATTTGGTCGACAATGAACAGAAACCCTTTCTCTTACATTCGATTTGAAAAGTGGAAAAACTAAGAAACAAATCGCCATCGCGTATTCAATAGTTAAGGATAATGCATTAATCATTTAATTGGTTTAATGAAGTTAGACGTATGAAGTACAGCATAAAGCATTAATCATATATGTATAGGTTTTAATTGAAGTTAAACATGTACCGATACCGTTAAAGCTATATACATAAGTAGTACATACCCATCCTAATGCCACGCCAGCACATTGCACTTCTATGACGTCGTTTCTCTGCCAGTGTCCCTTTCGTTGACGTCGTTTACAGATGATGTCAGTTACACCTGACGTCATTTTCGTGACTGTATTTTTTACTGAATCAAAATATCTTCCGCATGTTAGTATTCTCCACCCAGCCTAACCAACCCTTGCATTCAATTGATGATCCCAATTACAGAAATGACGCAGTCGAGATGGTCATAACGGGCATCAAACATGTACTTAATGCGCTCGTGCTTTAAATCCGATGCTTCTATCCAGTTCGTTGTATGGAGGTTCTGTCACAGTCTGTTGTACGGAGGTTCTGTCACAGTCCGTTGAACATGAGCTCGGTCACAGGGCATTGTACAACAGTTCGGTGACAGTCAATTGAACGCGAATCCGTTAACAATCCGTTGTACAAGAGTATTCTCACAGTCCGCTGTACAAGATGGGTTTTTTATTTAAAAATTTTAATCCCTCAGCATTTTGATATTCTCATTTTCATATATTCAGTGGTTTTTGGAGGCTGCCAGGGTTGAGGAGCCCTCGGATCAGCCCCCCCCNACAATAAAGTGTCCACACGTAGGTGGTCTTTCACTATTCGTACACCTTACATTCAATAGCTATGCTTATACATGTGTTATATATATATATTATATAGTTATATTAAGTTTGTAAGTTGTCCCCGCGCATGCATGTATCAGCCATCCCAAAACTGTAGCCGGTTGTACAAGAATTCGGCCACAGTGCGTGGTATTAATGTTCTATTTAAAACCACCAGAGACAACATTGGCACTATGAAGTTTAATTCACTGTACAACAATTATGGCATTTATCTTTTGAAAAATGTTATGTCCTTGTTTTTTTTTATTGAATAATTTCAGTGCTTTTCAAAAGAAAATAACAACATTTATACTAAAGAACTTGAATGACTTCGAACTAGGAAATTCCCTGACCATTCCCGGAACCGTCCTCGACACTCTTTGAAGATGTCGGTGTGTACCGGCGTTGCCAGGACTGTAGACAGTCCATTGTCATGTGGGGCGAAACCACATCCGGCTGCGTACACGTAAATTGTCCCGGATATGTTTGACATGATGAAACGGATCAGGGTGGCATCGTGTGCTCCATTCTAAAATGAGTGTTACATCTATTGATAACATAACCGAGTTAACGGGTATCCTGATAGAATTCCTTAAATCATGATAAGCATAGTCTAAGTCAATGGCTTTTTTGTGTGATAGGTTTCAATCGAAGGTCAGTATATGTGTATATTTCAGATTGGAAATGACGTCTCAAGCAATCTATATATATATGTATATTATAGTATTCTTGTTAAACGGGGCTATCAATATGTTAAAGGAATAAGGTGAAGTTATGTAAGAAAAAGTCTAAAGAATTCTGATTTCCTATCGCTTCTGATATCTTTTTCTGATAGAATATGTTTCTAGGACTCAAGAAAGGGGCATTATGTCTATAGTCTGCTGACTTAAGATAAAGTCGGCGTAAAGATACAATATAGAAGATTTAGTAACGTTACATCAAATTAATTGTCCCTATGTTGATACAGATATGTGATTTACTATACGTTATGGTGGGTGTCGTCGGTGAAGCAGAAGACGCTTACCTTTCCGCAACACCTGGTCCTATTCTCTTTGTCCATTTTTAAATGTCACCGTGTAAATGTTTCCCCTGTTCATATTTTGCTGTAGTTTTATCGATTTTGAGTACGCTTTATAGTTTCGTGACCCTTCGGTATTATTTTGCTTTTTTAGCCTAATTTGGAAACTTACTCTAATCCAATACCTGTTTTAGACAGTACCAAACTAAGTTTATTTCTGGGAAATAGTAAAATTATATATGTCGATCAATATCCGGCGAAAGATTGAATCATCTTATCTCAAAAAAAAAGAATGATAAAAGCAACAGCGTAAAATTTTAAACGATTTGTTAAATTATATAACTACCTTCTTTCGTCATCGATTTTTGTTACGTGGTACATGCTTTTTAAGTACCTGAATTGGTTAAGTTATAGCATACATTGTGTGTATATAGGTAACAGACAAAGCAAACAGAGTAGCATACACATTTGTATTGCCATGAGAAAATGGATTCGGAGGTTAAATGAACATTATCAATCCGCTTTCCCTACAAACAACAGTTTTAATTCAACAGTTGAATTAAATCTTGTAGAAATAGGTAACAGTTAAGTTATAAATCGTAACTAACAGCCAAATAAAACAATATGTGGAAAACAATTTATGATTCAAATATTCATGATTAAAAATTAATCTGTAGCTCTGTATGCTTCTTGTAAACTGTTAAATATGTTTACACGATACACAATTTACCTGTTAAATATATCAAATCAATTCTAAATTAACCTGTTAAATATATCTTATCAATTCTTAATTTACCTGTTAAATATATCTAATCAATTCTTAATTTACTTGTTAAATATATCTAATCAATTCTTAATTTATCTGTTAAATATATCTAATCAATTCTTAATTTACCTGTTAACTACGATAACACTATTTATAATTTACCTGTTAACTACGATAACACTATTTATAATTTACCTGTTAACTACGATAACACTATTTATAATTTACCTGTTAACTACGATGACACTATTTATAATTTACCTGTTAACTACGATGACACAATCTATAATTCACCTGTTAACAACGATAACACTATTAATAATTTACCTGTTAACTACGATAACAATATTTATGATTTACCTGTTAACTACGATAACAATATTTATGATTTACCTGTTAACAACGATAACAAAATTTATGATTTATCTGTTAACTAAGAAAACACTATTTATAATTCACCTGTTAACCAAGATAACACTGTTTATAATTTACCTGTTAACTACGATAACACCATTTATAATTTACCTGTTAACTACGATAACAATATATATAATTAACCTGTTAACTACGATAACATTATTTATAATTTAGCTGTCAACTACGATAACACTATTTATAATTTACCAGTTTACTACTATAACACTTTTTATAATTCACCTTTTAACCATGATAACAATATTTATAATTTACCTGTTAACTACGATAACACTATTTATAATTTACCTGTTAACTACGATAACACTATTTATAATTTACCTGTTAACTACGATAACACTATTTATAATTTACCTGTTAACTACGATAACACTATTTATAATTTACCTGTTAACTACGATAACACTATTTATAATTTACCTGTTAACTACGATAACACTATTTATAATTTACCTGTTAACTACGATAACACTATTTATAATTTACCTGTTAACTACGATAACACTATTTATAATTTACCTGTAAACTACGATAACACCATTTATAATTTACCTATTAATTACGACAATACTCTTTATAATTTACCTGTTTACTACAATAACACTATTTATAATTTAGCTGTAAACTACGATAACACTATTTATAGTTTACTACGATAACACTCTTTATAATTTACCTGTTAACTATGACAACACCATTTATAATTTACCTGTTAACTACGATAACACTATTTATAATTTAACTATTAACTACGTTTACACTATTTATAATTTAACTATTAACTACGTTTACACTATTTATAATTTAACTGTTAACTACGATAACACTATTTATAATTTAACTATTAACTACGATAACACTATTTATAATTTACCTGTTAACCACGATAACTCTATTTATAATTTAGCTGTTAACTACGATAACACTATTTATAATTCAACTGTTAACTTCGTTCACACTGTTTATAATATAACTGAAAAAAATATTTGTACGATTTTTTATACAATTTATAATTTAACTGTTAAATATATCTACCCAATTATTAATTTAACTGTTAACTACGTTTACAAGATTTATAATTAACTGTTAATAACGTTTACACGATTCATACTTTTACTGTAAATAACGCTTACAGGACTTAAAATTCATCGCTTACCTTTATTTACACTTGTTATATTTCATCTGTTTACTATTTTGCATTTATTTTAAGGTATCTATTAACTATGCATATACGAGCTTTAAATTGACTGTTAAATACGTTTACACACTTTATAATTTTACTGTTAACTGTGAAAACATTGTTTATAAATTAACTGTTTACTATTTTTACACGATTTATTATTGAACTATTTACGACGTATACTCGGTTAACAATTTAAGCAATAACTAGGTTTGTACGGTTTTTATGTGAACTGTAACTATGTTTTATCTGTTTTTATTTACATCGTTATGCATACACGATTGATTGATTAATAATTAACCTATAAGTAAATAAATAGTTAAATTACAATTCATGTAATTATAGTCAGTGTTTAATTATAAATCCTATCTCAAAGTTTACAATCCAATTAACACGTACATTGTTTATACAATGAACAGTTTAATTAAAATCCTGGTATATACAGTGAGCAGTTAAATCAAAGATAATGTAAACAGTGTTAACAATTAAATTTTTAAAAGTGAAAATAAATTTAAAATTGAAATTGAAATTAAAAACCCTGTTAACAGAGCTCACAGCTAAACTATTAACCGTGTATGCACAGGTAATAGTTGAATTATTATTTTGTTTACAATTTTTTTAAAATATAACAGCTGAAAACGTAGTCAAAAGTTAAATGACAAATTGTTGTTTAAAAGATATTACGGCTAAATTATAAAACGTGTATTAAGAGTTAAACATAGATTATGAGGCAAAAGGTATGGGCTCAGGTTACATGAACATTATGAACGTATTATTATAACCTATGTGTGCACCGATCAGTACATGGCTAAATAATAAATAAATCGTGTACCTAGTAACAGTTACAAATACTAATCGTATATGGACAGGTAACAATTAAGTTATAAATTGTGTATAAACAATAAACAGTTTAATTTTACATCGAGTAAACATATTAACCGTTAAATTACAATTCGGGTTAACAGATTTAACAATTCAATTATGTACCATGTATACATGTTTAACGTTTAAATCTAAAATTGTGTATACAGAGTTAACAGTTTAACTATAAATTGTGTATGCAGAGTTAACAGTTTAACTATAAATTGTGTATACAGAGTTAACAGTTTAACTATAAATCGTGTATACAGCGTTAACAGTTTAACTATAAATTGTGTATACAGATTTAACAGTTTAACTATAAATTGTGTATACAGAGTTAACAATTTAACTATAAATTGTGTATACAAAGTTAACAGTTTAACTATATATCGTGTATATAGAGTTAACAATATAACTATAAATCATGTATACAGAGTTAACAATATAACTTTAAATCGTGTATACAGAGTTAACAGTTTAATTATAAATTGTGTATACAGAGTTAACAGTTTAATTATAAATTGTGTTTACAGAGTTAACAGCTTAATTATAAATTGTGTATACAAGGTTAGCAGTTTAACTATAAATCGTGTATATAAAGTTAACAATATAACTTTAAATTGTGTATACAGAGTTAACAGTTTAACTATAAATCGTGTATACAGAGTTAACAATATAACTTTCAATTGTGTATACAGCGTTAACAGTTTAACTATAAATTGTGTATACAGAGTTAACAGTTTAACTATAAATTGTGTATACAGAGTTAACAATTTAACTATAAATTGTGTATACAAAGTTAACAGTTTAACTATATATCGTGTATATAGAGTTAACAATATAACTTTAAATCGTGTATACAGAGTTAACAGTTTAACTTTAAATCGTGTATACAGAGTAAGTAGTTTAACTATAAATCGTGTATACAGAGTTAACAGTTTAACTATAAATTGTGTATACAAGGTTAGCAGTTAAAATATAAATTATGTTTATAGAGTTAACAATATAACTTTAAACTGTGTATACAGAGTTAACAATATAACTTTAAATCGTGTATACAGAGTAAGTAGTTTAACTATAAATCGTGTATACAGAGTTAACAGTTTAACTATAAATTGTGTTTACAGAGTTAACAGTTTAACTTTAAATTGTGTACACAAGGTGAACAATTTAACTTTAAATCGTGTATACAGAGTTAACAGTTTTACTATAAATTGTGTTTACAGAGTTAGCAGTTTAACTATAAACTGTGATTACACTCATATAACA